TGCCTGGAACAGGAGCTTGCCAAGTCCAGGAGCTTGCAAGGTCCAGGAACTTGCCTGGTCCAGGAGCTTGCCTCGTCTAGGAACTTGCCTGGTCCAGGAGCGTGCCCGGTCCACGAGCTTGCCTGGTCCAGGAGCTTCCTTGGACCAGGAGCTTGCCTGGTCCAAGAGATTGCCTGGTCCAGGAGCTTACCTTGTCCAGAAGCTTGCATGGTCCAGGAGCTTGCCAGGTCCAGGAGCTTGCTTTGTCTAGATGCCTGCCTGGTCCAAGAGCTTGCGTGGTCCAGGAGCTTGCTTGGTCCAGAAGCGTGCCTGGTCCCAGAGCTTGCCTGGTCAAGGAGTGTGCCTGGTCCAAGAGCTTGCATGGTCTAGGAGCTTGCCTCGTCCGGGAGCTTGCCTGGTCAAGGAGCGTGCTTGGTCCATGAGGTTGCCTGTTCCAGGAGCGTGCCTAGGCTAGGAGCGTGCCTGGTCCACGAGCGTGCCTGGTCCAGGAGCTTCCATGGTCCAAGAACTTGCCTGGTCCAAGAGCGTGCCTGGGCCAAGAGCTTGCCTGGTCCAGGAGCGTGCCTGGTCCACGAGTGTGCCTGGTCCAGAAGCTTGCTTTGTCCAGGAGCTTGCCTGGTCTAGGAGCCTGCCTGGTCCACAAGCTTGCCTGGTCCAGGGGCTTGCGTGGTCCAAGAGCTTGCTTGGTCCAGAAGCCTGCCTGGTCCAAGAGCGTGCCAGGTCCACGAGCATGCCTGGTCCAAGAGCTTGCGAGGTCCAGGAGCTTGCCTTGTCCAGGAGCTTGCCTGGTCCAGGAGCTTGCCTGGTCCAGGAGCTTGCCTGGTCCAGGAGCTTGCCTGGTCCAGGAGCTTGCCTGGTTCAGAAGCGTGCCTGGTCCAAAAGCTTGCCTGGTCAAGGAGCTTGCCTGGTCCAGGATCTCCTTGGTCCAGAAGTTTGCCTGATCCAAGAGCTTGCTTGGTCCAGGAGCGTCCCTAGTCCAAGAGATTGCATGGTCCAGGAGCTTGCCTGGTCCAAGTGATTGCCTGGTCCAAGATCGTGCCTGGTCCACGTGCGTGCCTGGTCCAGGAGCTTGCCTCGTCCAAGAGCTTGCCTGGTCCAAGAGTTTCCCTGGTCCAAGAGCTTGCGTGGTCCACGAGCTTGCCTTGTCCAGGAGCTTGCCTGGTCCAGGAGCTTGCCTGGTCCAGGAGCTTGCCTGGTCCAGGAGCGTGCCTGGTCCATGACTTTGCTTGGTCCAGGAGCTTACCTGGTCCAGGAGCTTGCCTGGTCCAGGAGCTTGCCTGGTCCAGGAGCGTGCCAGGTCCAGGAGCTTGCGTGCTCCACGAGCGTGTTTGGTCCACGTGCTTTCTTGGTCCATTAGCTTGCCTGGTCTTGGAGCTTGCCTGGTCCAGGAGCTTTCCTGGTCCATGAGCTTTCCTGGTCCAAGAGCTTGCCTGGTCCAGGAGCTTGCCTGGTCCAAGAGCTTGCCTGGTCCAAGAGCTTGACTGGTCCAGGAGCTTGCCTAGTCCAAGAGCTTGCCTGGTCCACGAGCGTGCCTGGTCCAAGAGCTTGCCTGGTCCAGAAGCTTGTCTGGTCCACGAGCTTGCCTGGTCCAGGAGCTAGCTTGGTCCTGAAGCCTGCCTGGTCCAAGAGCTTGCCTGGTCCAAGAGCTTGCGTGGTCCACGAGCTTGCCTGGTCTAGGAGCTTGCCTGGTCCAGGAGCGTGCCTGGTCCACGAGCTTGCCTGGTCCAGGAGCTTGCCTGGTCTAGGAGCTTGCCTGGTCCAGGAGCGTGCCTGGTCCACAAGCTTGCCTGGTCCAAAAGCGTGCGTGGTCCTGGAGCGCGCCTGGTCCACGAGGGAGCTTGTTTGGTCCAAGAGCTTGCTTGGTCCAAAAGCCTGCCTGGCCCAAGAGCTTGCCTGGTACAGGAGCGTGCCTAGTCCAAGAGCTTGCCTGGTCTAGGAGCTTGCCTGGTCCATGAACGTGCCTGGTCCAGGAGCTTGCCTGGTCCCAAAGCTTGCGTGGTCCAGGAGCTTGCCTGGTCCAGGAGCTTGCCTTGTCCAAGAGCGTGCCTAGTCTAGAAGTATGCCTGGTCCAGGAACTTGCTTGGTCCAGAAGCCTGCCTGGTCCAAGAGCATGCCTGGTCTAGGAGCGTGCCTAGTCCAAGAGCTTGCCTGGTCTAGGAGCTTGCCTGGTCCAGGAGCGTGCGTGGTCCAGGAGCTTGCGTGGTCCAAGAGCTTGCCTCGTCAAGAGCTTGCCTGGTCCAAGAGCTTGCTTGGTCCAGGAGCATGCCGGGTCTAGGAGCTTGCCTGGTCCAGGAGCTTGCCTTGTCCAGGAGCGTGCCTGGTCCAGGTTTGCGCCTAGTCCAGGAACTTGCTTGGTCCAGAAGCTTCCCTGGTCCAAGAGCTTGCATGGTTCAGGAGCGTGCCTAGTCCATGAGCTTGCGTGGTCTAGGAGCTTGCCTGGTCCAGGAGCGTGCCTGGTCTAGGAGCTTGCCTGTTCCAGGAGCTTGCCTTGTCCAAGAGCTTGCCTAGTCCAGGAGCTTGCCTGGTCCAAGAGCTTGCCAGGTCCAGGAGCTTGCCTGGTCCAAGAGCGTGCCTGGTCCGAGAGCTTGCCTGGTCCAGGAGCTTGCGTGGTCCAGGAGCTTGCCTGGTCCAGGAGCTTGCCTCCTCCAAGAGCGTGCTAGGTCCACGAGTTTTGCCTGGTTTAGGAGCTTGCCTGGTCCAGGAGCTTGCCTGGTCTAGGAGCTTGCGTGGTCTAGGAGCGTGCCTGGTCCAGGAGCTTGCCTGATCTAGGAGCCTGCCTGGTCCACGAGCTTGCCTGGTCCAGGAGCTTGCCTTGTCTAGGAGCTTTCTTGGTCCGTTACCTTGCCTGGTCGAGGAGCTTGCCTGGTCCAGGAGCTTTCCTGGTCCAAGAGCTTGCCTAGTCCAGGAGCTTGCCTGGTTAGGGAGCTTGCATTTTCTAGGAGCTTGCCTGGTCCAGGAGCTTGCATGTTCTAGGAGCTTGCCTGGTCCAGGAGCTTGCCTGGTTCAGGAGCTTGCCTTGTCCAAGAGCGTGCCTGGTCCAGGAGTGTGCGTGGTCCATGAGCTTGCCTGGTCCAGAAGCGTGCCTTGTCCAAGAGCTTGCCTGGTCCACGAGCTTGCCTGGTCCAGGAGCGTGCCTGGTCCAGGAGTGTGCCTGGTCCAGGAGTGTGCCTGGTCCAGGAGTGTGCCTGGCCCAGGAGCGTGCCTGGTCCAGGAGCTTGCCTGGTCCAGGAGCTTGCTTGGTCCAAGAGCTTGCCTGGTCCAGGAGCTTGCCTGGTCCAGGAGCGTGCCTGGTCCAGGAGCTTGCCTGGTCCGGGAGTGTGCCTGGTCCAGGAGTGTGCCTCGTCCAGGAGCGTGCCTGGTCCAGGAGCGTGCCTGGTCCAGGAGTGTGCCTGGTCCAAGAGCTTGCCTGGTCCACGAGCGTGCCTTGTCCAAGAGCTTGCCTGGTCCAAGAGCTTGCCTATTCCAAGAGCTTGCCTGGTCCAGGAGCTTGCCTGGTCCAAGAGCTTGCCTGGTCCAGAAGCGAAATGCGAATGGCGGGCGCCGAATACTCGACGGCGTCCTACATCACCCACATCGTCAAGGGCTTGCCGCGCAGCTACAATCTCATGAAGAGCATGATGATGGTGCCCGGCACTCGTGAGTCCCTCGACGAGGACTCCATCACCAGCTACATTCTCCAGGATGAGGCGATGCAGGAGGCAGAACAGCCCACGGAGTTCCTTCCGCAGGCGAGTTATGATGCACCGACGAAGCCGAATTATCAGCAGGAGCAGCGCGGGAAACAAGGCGGAGGTGGTAGCGGAAGTGGGCGGTCGACAAAGGACGTCGACGAGAAGAGGTCAACGCGGGACAAGGGTCGACGAGGTGGTGGTCGACGGCGGGAGTGCTGGATCTGCGGCGACCCCGACCATCTCTCCTTCGAATGCCCCGACCGCGATGACAGCGACGAGGACGACAACAAGGAAGGCCACGGTCGATCGGCCAGTCGTCGCCCCCGTCGAGTTGAGAAGTCGCGCAAGGAGAAGCAAGCGTCGAAGAAAACGTCCTCGACGAAGGACGTCGACAGCTCCAGCGGCAAGAGCCGAGGCGACGGGGAGGCGTCGTGCTCGATGGTCGGCGTGGTGGAGCCGATGGTCTCGCCAGGCGGTGGCAGCAGCTGTGCAGGCCAACCCGATGGCGGTGCTGCTCGACAGCGGGTGCTCCCACCACCTGATGGGGACGAAATCGGTCTTCGTCGACATGGGGCTGAGCGACGGTGGGTTGAACACACGGTGGGTTGAACACACGGTGGGTTCAACTCACGGTGGGTGGAACACATGGTGGGTTGAACACACGGTGGGTTGAACACACGGTCGGTTCAACTCACGGTGCGTTGAACACACGGTGGGTGGAACACATGGTGGCTTGAACACACGGTGGGTTGAACACACGGTGGGTTGAACATACGGTGGACTGATCACACGGTGGGTTGAACACACGGTGGGTTCAACACACGGTGGGTTGAACCCACGGTGGGTGCAACACACGGTGGGTTGAACACACGGTGGGTTCAACACACGATGGGTTCAACACACGGTGCGTTGAACACACGGTGGGTTGAACACACGGTGGGTAGAACACAGGGTGGGTTGAACACACGGTGTGTTGAACACACGGTGGGTTCAAAACATGGTGGGTTCAACACACCGTGCGTTGAACACACGGTGGGTGGAACACACGGTGGGTTGAACACACAGTGGGTTGAACATACGGTGGGCTGATCACACAATGGGTTGAACACACGGTGCGTTCAACACACAGTGCGTTGAACACACGGTGGGTGGAACACACGGTGGGTTGAACACAAGGTGGGTTGAACACACGGTGGGTTGAACAAACGGTGGGTTGAACACACGGTGCGTTGAACACACAGTGGGTTGAACACACGGCGGGTTCAACACACGGTGCGCTGAACACAGGGTGGGTTGAACACATGATGGGTTGAACACACGGTGGGTTGATCACACGGTGGGTGGAACACACGGTGGGTTGAACACACGATAGGTTGAACACACGGTGGGTTGAACATACGGTGGGTTGAACACACGGTGGGTTGAACACACCATGTCCACGTCCACGTCCACGTCAACGACCATGTCCACGTCCACGTTCACGTCCACGTCCACGTCCACGTCCATGTCCATGTCCACGTCCACGTCCATGTCCATGTCCATGTCCACGTCCACGTCCATGTCCACGTCCACGTCCACGTCCCTGTCCATGTCCACGTCCACGTCCACGTCCACATCCACGTCCACGTCCACGTCCATGTCCACGTCCATGTCCATGTCCACGTCCACGTCCACGACCACGTCCACGTCCACGTCCACGTCCACGTCCATTCCTCCACGTCCACGTCCACGTCCACGTCCATGTCCATGTCCACGTCCACGTCCATGTCCACGTCCACGTCCACGTCCACGACCATGTCCACGTTTACGTCCACGTCCACGTCCACGTCCACGTCCACGTCCACGTCCACGTCCATGTCCACGTCCAAGTCGACCACGTCCACGTCCACGTCCATGTCCAAGTCGACCACGTCCACGTCCACGTCCATGTCCACGTCCACGTCCACGTCCATGTCCACGTCCACGTCCATGTCCACGTCCACGTCCACGTCCACGTCCATGTCCACGTCCACGTCCACGTCTACGTCCACGTCTACGTCCACGTCCACGTCCACGTCCTCGTCCATGTCCATGTCCACGTCCACGTCCACGTCCACGTCCACGTTCATGTCCATGTCCACGTCCACGTCCACGTCCATGTCCATGTCCATGTCCACGTCCACGTCCGTGTCCACGTCCATGTCCATGTCCACGTCCACGTCCACGTTCATGTCCATGTCCATGTCCATGTCCATATCCATGTCCACGTCCACGTCCACGTCCGCGTCCATGTCCATGTCCACGTCCACGTCCACGTCCACGTCCACGACCACGTCCACGTCCACGTCCACCTCCACGTCCATGTCCACGTCCACGTCCACGTCCACGACCACGTCCACGTCCACGTCCACGTCCCTGTCCACGTCCACGTCCACGTCCACGACCACGTCCACGTCCACGTCCACGTCCACGTCCACGTCCATGTCCACGTCCATGTCCATGTCCACGTCCACGTCCACGACCACGTCCACGTCCACGTCCACGTCCACGTCCACGTCCACGTCCATGTCCACGTCCAAGTCCTCCACGTCCACGTCCACGTCCATTTCCATGTCCATGTCCACGTCCACGTCCATGTCCACGTCCACGTCCATCTCCACGTCCATGTCCACGTCCACGACCACGTCCACGTCCACGTCCACGTCCATGTCCACGTCCACGTCCACGTCCATGTCCACGTCCACGTCCACGTCCACGTCCACGTCCACGTCCACGTCCACGTCCACGACCACGTCCACGTCCACGTCCACGACCACGTCCTCCAATTCCACGTCCACGTCCACGTCCATGTCCACGACCACGTCCTCCACGTCCACGTCCACGTCCACGTCCACGTCCACGTCCATGTCCACGTCCACGACCATGTCCACGTCCACGTCCACGTCCACGTCCACGTCCATGTCCACGTCCACGACCATGTCCACGTCCATGTCCACGTCCACGTCCATGTCCACGTCCACGTCCACGTCCACGTCCATGTCCACGTCCACGTTCACGTCCACGTCCACGTCCACGTCGATGTCCACGTCCACGTCTATGTCCACGTCCACGTCCATGTCCACGACCACGTCCACGTCCACGTCCACGTCCAAGTCCTCCACGTCCACGTCCACGTCCATGTCCACGTCCACGTCGTCCACGTCCACGTCCACGTCCACGTCCAAGTCGTCCACGTCCACGTCCACGTCCACGTCCACGACCACGTCCACGTCCACGACCACGTCCATGTCCACGTCCACGTCCACGTCCATGTCCACGTCCACGTCCACGTCCACGTCCACGTCCACGTCCATGTCCACCTCCATGTCCACGTCCACGCGTCCACGTCCATGTCCACGTCCACGTCCACGTCCATGTCCACGTCCATGTCCACGTCCAAGTCCTCCACGTCCATGTCCACGTCCACGTCCACGTCCACGTCCATGTCCACGTCCCCGTCCACGTCCATGTCCACGTCCACGTCCACGTCCACGTCCATGTCCACGTCCATGTCCACGTCCACGTCCACGTCCACGTCCACGTCAACGTCAACGACCATGTCCATGTCCACGTCCACGTCCACGTCCACGTCCATGTCCACGTCCACGTCCACGTCCACGTCCACGTCCACGTCAACGACCATGTCCACGTCCACGTTCACGTCCACGACCACGTCCTCCACGTCCACGTCCACGTCCACGTCCACGTCCACGTCCACGTCCACGTCCATGTCCACGTCCACGACCATGTCCACGTCCACGTCCACGTCCATGTCCACGTCCATGTCCTCGTCCACGTCCACGTCCACGTCCACGTCCACGTCCATGTCCACGTCCACGTCCACGTCCACGTCCACGTCCACGTCCACGTTGATGTCCACGTCCACGTCCACGTCCACGTTGATGTCCACGTCCACGTCCACGACCACGTCCACGTCCACGTCCACGTCCACGTCCACGTCCACGTCCAAGTCCTCCACGTCCACGTCCACGTCCACGTCCACGTCCAAGTCCGCGTCCACGTCCACGTCCACGTCCATGTCCACGTCTACGTCCACGTCCACGTCCACGTCCACGTCCATGTCCACGTCCACGTCCACGTCCACGTCCACGTCCACGTCCATGTCCACGTCCATGTCCACGTCCACGCGTCCACGTCCATGTCCACGTCCACGTCCACGTCCATGTCTACGTCCATGTCCACGTCCAAGTCCTCCACGTCCATGTCCACGTCCACGTCCACGTCCACGTCCACGTCCATGTCCACGTCCCCGTCCACGTCCATGTCCACGTCCACGTCCACGTCCACGTCCACGTCCATGTCCACGTCCATGTCCACGTCCACGTCCACGTCCACGTCCACGTCCACGTCCACGTCCACGTCAACGTCAACGACCATGTCCATGTCCACGTCCACGTCCACGTCCACGTCCACGTCCATGTCCACGTCCACGTCCACGTCCACGTCCACGTCCACGTCAAGTCCACGTCCACGTCTATGTCCACGTCCACGACCACGTCCACGACCACGTCCACGTCCACGTCCATGTCCACGTCCAAGTCGTCCACGTCCACGTCCAAGTCGTCCACGTCCACGTCCACGTCCACGTCCACGTCCACGTCCACGTCCACGTCCACGTCCACGTCCACGTCCACGACCACGTCCACGTCCACGTCCACGTCCACGTCCACGTCCACGACCACGTCCACGTCTACGTCCACGTCCACGTCCGCGTCCACATCCACGTCCGCGTCCACGTCCACGTCCACGTCCACGTCCAGGTCCACGTCCAAGTCGTCCACGTCCACGTCCACGTCCACGTCAACGTCAACGACCATGTCCATGTCCATGTCCACGTCCACGTCCACGTCCACGTCCACGTCCACGTCCACGTCCACGTCCACGTCCACGTCCACGTCCACGACCACGACCACGTCCACGTCCACGACCACGACCACGACCACGTCCACGACCACGTCCACGTCCACGTCCACGTCCACGTCCACGTCCACCCATGTCCACGTCCACGTCCACGTCCACGTCCACGTCCACGTCCACGTCCACCTCCACGTCCACCTCCACGTCCACCTCCACGTGCACCTCCACCTCCACCTCCACGTCCACCTCCACCTCCACGTCCACCTCCACCTCCACGTCCACCTCCACCTCCACGTCCACGTCCACGTCCACGTCCACGTCCACGACCACGTCCACGTCCACGACCACGACCACGTCCACGACCACGTCCACGTCCACGTCCACGTCCACGTCCACGTCCACGTCCACGTCCACCCAGGTCCACGTCCACGTCCACGTCCACGTCCACGTCCACGTCCACGTCCACCTCCACGTCCACCTCCACGTCCACCTCCACGTCCACGTCCACCTCCACCTCCACGTCCACGTCCACGTCCACGTCCACCTCCACGTCCACGTCCACCTCCACGTCCACGTCCACGTCCACCTCCACGTCCACGTCCACGTCCACGTCCACGTCCACGTCCACGACCACGACCACGTCCACGACCACGACCACGTCCACGACCACGTCCACGTCCACGTCCTCGACCACGTCCACGTCCACGTCCACGACCACGTCCACGTCCACGACCACGTCCACGTCCACGTCCACGTCCACGTCCACGTCCACGACCACGTCCACGTCCACGACCACGTCCACGTCCACGTCCACGTCCACGTCCACGTCCACGTCCATGTCGTCCACGTCCACGTCCACGTCCACGTCCACGTACACGTCCACGTCCACGTCCACGTCCACGTCCACGTCCACGTACACGTCCACGTCCACGTCCACGTCCACGTACACGTCCACGTCCACGTCTATGTCCACGTCCACGTCCACGTCCACGTACACGTCCACGTCCACGTCCACGTCCACGTCCACGTCCACGTCCACGTCCAGTCCACGTCCACGTCCAGTCCACGTCCACGTCTACGTCCAGTCCACGTCCACGTCCAGTCCACGTCCACGTCCACGTCCACGTCCACGTCCACGTCCACGACCCGGTCCACGTCCACGTCCACGTCCACGACCACGTCCACGTCCACGTCCACGTCCACGTCCACGGCCACGGCCACGGCCACGTCCACGGCCACGGCCACGTCCACGTCCACGGCCACGGCCACGTCCACGGCCACGTCCACGGCCACGTCCACGTCCACGGCCACGGCCACGTCCACGTCCACGTCCACGGCCACGGCCACGTCCTCGGCCACGGCCACGTCCACGGCCACGGCCACGTCCACCTCCGCGTCCGCGTCCGCCTCCGCGTCCGCGTCCGCGTCCACCTCCGCGTCCGCGTCCGCGTCCACGGCCACGTCCACGGCCACGGCCGCGTCCACCTCCGCGTCCGCGTCCGCGTCCGCGTCCGCGTCCACCTCCGCGTCCGCGTCCGCGTCCACCTTCGCGTCCGCGTCCGCGTCAACCTCCGCGTCCCCGTCCGCGTCCACGTCCGCGTCCACGTCCACGTCCACGACCACGTCCACGACCACGTCCACGTCCACGTCCTCCACGTCCACGTCCACGTCCTCCACGTCCACGTCCACGTCCTCCACGTCCACGACCACGTCCACGTCCACGTCCTCCACGTCCACGTCCACGTCCACGGCCACGGCCACGTCCACGTCCACGTCCACGTCCACGTCCACCTCCACGTCCACCTCCACGTCCACGTCCACGTCCAGGTCCACGTCCACGTCCACGTCCACGTCCACGTCCACGTCCACGTCCACGTCCACGTCCACGACCACGTCCACGTCCACGACCACGACCACGTCCACGACCACGTCCACGTCCACGTCCACGTCCACGTCCACGTCCAAGTCCACGTCCACGTCCACCCATGTCCATGTCCATGTCCACGTCCAAGTCCACGTCCACGTCCACCTACACGTCCACGTCCACGTCCACGTCCACGTCCACGTCCACGTCCACGTCCACCTCCACGTCCACGTCCACCTCCACGTCCACGTCCACGTCCACGTCCACCTCCACGTCCACGCGTCCACGTCCACGTCCACGTCCACGACCACGTCCACGTCCACGTCCACGTCCACGTCCACGTCCACGACCACGTCCACGACCACGTCCACGTCCACGTCCACGTCCACGACCCGGTCCACGTCCACGTCCACGTCCACGTCCACGTCCACGACCACGTCCACGTCCACGTCCACGTCCAGTCCACGGCCACGGCCACGGCCACGTCCACGGCCACGGCCACGTCCACGTCCACGGCCACGGCCACGTCCACGGCCACGTCCACGTCCACGGCCACGGCCACGTCCACGTCCACGTCCACGGCCACGGCCACGTCCTCGGCCACGTCCACGGCCACGGCCACGTCCGCGTCCGCGTCCGCCTCCGCGTCCGCGTCCGCGTCCACCTCCGCGTCCGCGTCCGCGTCCACGGCCACGTCCACGGCCACGTCCACGTCCACGTACACGTCCACGACCACGTCCACGTCCACGTCCTCCACGTCCACGTCCACGTCCTCCACGTCCACGTCCAGGTCCACGTCCACGTCCACGTTCACGTCCACGTCCACTTCCACGTCCTCCAAGTCCACATACATCCTCCAAGTCCTTGTCCACGTCCACGTCCTCCACGTCCACGTCCACGTCCACGTCCACGTCCTCCACGTCCACGTACATCCTCCAAGTCCTCGTCCACGTCCACGTACATCCTCCAAGGCCTCGTCCACGTCCACGTCCACGTCCACGTCCACGTCCACGTGCACGTCCACGACCACGTCCACGACCACGTCCATGTCCACGTCCTCCACGTCCACGTCCACGTCCTCCATGTTCACGTCCACGTCCTCCACATCCACGTTCACGTCCACGACCACGTCCACGTCCATGTCCACGTCCATGTCCACGTCCACGTCCATGACCACGTCCACGTTCACGTCCACGTCCACGTCCACGACCAGGTCCACGCCCACGTCCACCTCCACGTCCACGTCCACGCCCACGGGTCCATGTCCACGTCCACGTCCAGGTCCACGTCCAGGTCCACCTCCACGTCTACGTCCAGGTCCACGTCCAGGTTCACGTCCAGGTCCACGTCCAGGTCCACGTCCACGACCACGTCCACGTCCACGTCCAGGTCCACGTCCAGGTCCACGTCCAGGTCCATGTCCACGTCCACGTCCACGTCCACGTCCACGACCACGTCCACGACCACGTCCACGACCACGTCCACGTCCACGTCCACGACCACGTCCACGTCGCCTATCTCTATGGGCGCCTATCTCTTGGGGCGCTTATCTCTATGGGCGCCTCTCTTTAGGGGCGCCAATCTCTAGAGGCGCCCATCCCTAGGGGCGCCTATCTCTAGCGCCACCTATCTCTAGGGGCGCCTATCTCTAGGGGCGCCTACCTCTAGGGGCGCCTATCTCCAAGGCGCCTATCTCCAACGGCGCCTATCTCTAGGGACGCCTATCTCTAATGGTGCCTATCTCTAGGGGCGCCTATCTCTAGGGGCGCCTATCTCTATGGGCGCCTATCTCTTTGGGCGCCTACCTCTATGGGCGCCTATCTCTAGGGGCGCCTGTCTCTAGGGGGCCCTATCTCTATGGGCGCCTATCTCTACGGGCGCCTATCTCTAGGGGTGCCTATCTCTATGGGCGCCTATCTTTAGCGGCGCCAATCTCTATGGGCGCCTATCCCTAGGGGCGCCTCTCTCTAGGGGCGCCTATCTCTAGTGGCGCCAATCTCTAGGTGCGCCTATCTCTAGGGGCGCCTATCTCTAGGGGCGCCTATCTCTATGGGCTCCTATCTCTAGGGGCGCCTATCTCTATGGGCGCCTATCTCTAGGGACGCCTATCCCTATGGGCGCCTATCTCTAGGGGCGCTTATCTCTGGGGGCCCCTATCTCTAGGGCCGCCTATCTCTAGGGGCGCCTATCTCTAGGGGCGCCTATCTCTATGGGCGCCTATCTCTAGGGGCGCCTATCTCTATGGGCGCCTATCTCTATGGGCGCCTATCTCTAGGCGCCACTAGAGATAGGCGCCACTAGAAATAGGCGCCCCTAGAGATAGGCGCCCATAGAGATTGGCGCGCTAAAGATAGGCGCCCATAGAGATAGGCGCCCCTAGAGATAGCCGCCCATAGAGATAGGCGCCCATAGAGATAGGCGCCCATAGAGATAGGCGCCCATAGAGATAGGCGCCCCTAGAGATGGGCGCCCATAGAGATAGGCGCCCCTAGAGATAGGCGTCCCTACGAATAGGGGCCCCTAGAGATAGGCGCCCATAGAGATAGGCGCCCATAGAGGTAAGCGACCATAGAGGTAAGCGCCGCTAGAGATAGGCGCCCCTAGAGATAGGCGCCCATAGAGATAGGCGCCCCTAGAGATAGGCGCCCCTAAAGATAGGTGCCCCTAGAGATAGGCACCCATAGAGATAGGCGCCCATAGAGATAGGCGCCCCTAGGGATAGGTGCCCATAGAAATAGGCGCCCCTAGAGATAGGCGCCCATAGAGATAGGCGCCCATAGAGATAGGCGCCCCTAGAGATAGGTGCACATAGAGATAGGCGCCCATAGAGATAGGCGCCCAAAAAGGTAAGCGACCATAGAGGTAAGCGCCGCTAGAGATAGGCGCCCCTAGAGGTAGGCGCCCCTAGAGATTGGCGCCCACAGAGATAGGCGCCCATTGAGATAGGCGCCCCTAGAGATAGGTTCCCATAGAAATAGGCGCCCCTAGAGATAGGCGCCCATAGAGATAGGCGCCCATAGAGATAGGCGCCCCTAGAGATAGGTGCCCATAGAGATAGGCGCCCATAGAGATAGGCGCCCAAAGAGGTAAGCGACCATAGAGGTGAGCGTTGCTAGAGATAGGCGCCCCAAGAGATAGGCACCCCTAGAGATTGGCGCCCACAGAGATAGGCGCCCATAGAGATAGGCGCCCCTAGAGATAGGTTCCTATAGAAATAGGCGCCCTTAGAGATAGGTTCCCATAGAAATAGGCGCCTATCTCAAGGGGCGCCTATCTCTAGGGGCGCCTATCTCTAGCAGCGCCTACCTCTATGGGCGCCTACCTCTGTTGGCGCCTATCTCTAGGGGCGCCTATCTCTAGGTGCGCCTATCTCTAGGGGCGCCTATCTCTAGGGGCGCATATCTCTATGGGCGTCTATCTCTATGGGCGCCTATGTCTATGGGCGCCTATCTCTATGGGCGCCTCTCTCTAGGGGCGCCTATCTCTATGGGCACCTATCTCTAGGGGCGTCTAGCTCTAAGGGTGCCTATCTCTATGGGCACCTATCTCTAGGGGCGCCTATCTCTATGGGCGCCTATCTCTAGGGGCGCCTATCTCAAGGGGCGCCTATCTCTAGGGGCGCCTATCTCTAGCGGCGCCTACCTCTATGGGCGCCTACCTCTGTTGGCGCCTATCTCTAGGGGCGCCTATCTCTAGGTGCGCCTATCTCTAGGGGCGCCTATCTCTAGGGGCGCATATCTCTATGGGCGTCTATCTCTATGGGCGCCTATGTCTATGGGCGCCTATCTCTATGGGCGCCTCTCTCTAGGGGCGCCTATCTCTATGGGCACCTATCTCTAGGGGCGCCTAGCTCTAAGGGTGCCTATCTCCATGGGCACCTATCTCTATGGGCGCCTATTTCTAGGGGCACCTATCTCCAGGGGCGCCTATCTATAGGGGCGTCTATCTCTAGGGGCGCCTATCTATAGAGGCGCCTATCTCTAGGGGCTCTTATCTCTATAAGCGCCTATCTCTAGGGGCGCTTATCTTTAGGGGCGCCTATCTGTAGGGGCGCCTATTTCTAGGGGCGCCTATCTCTATGGGCCCCTATCTCTAGGGGCGCCTATCTCTATGGGCGCCGATCTCTAGGGGCGCCTATCTCCAGGGGCGCCTATCTCTAGGGGCGCCTATCTCTAAGGGCGCCTATCTCTAGGGGCGCCTATCTCTATAGGCGCCTATCTCTATGGGCGCCTACCTCTAGGGATAGGCACCCCTAGAGATAAGTGCCCCTACAGATAGGAGCCCATAGAGATAGGAGCCCCTATAGATAGGCGCTCCTATAGATAGGCGCCTATATAGATAGGCGCCCCTGGAGATAGGCGCCTATATAGATAGGCGCCCCTATAGATAGGCACCCCTAGAGAGAGGTGCCCCTAGAGATAGGCGCCCATAGAGATAGGCGCCCATAGAGATAGGCGACGTGGACTTGGTCGTGGACGTGGACTGGACGTGGCCGGGACGTGGTCGTGGACGTGGTCGTGACGTGGACGTGGTCGTGGACGTGGTCGTGGACGTGGTCGTGGACGTGGTCGTGGACGTGGACGTGGACCAGGACGTGGTCGTGGACGTGGACGTGGACGTGGACTTGGACGTGGACGTGGTCGTGGACGTGGACGTGGACGTGGACGTGGACGTGGTCGTGGACGTGGACGTGGACGTGGACGTGGAGGTGGTCGTGGACGTGGACGTGGTCGTGGACGTGGTCGTGGACGTGGACGTGGACGTGGACGTGGATGGTCGTGGACGTGGACGTGGTCGTGGACGTGGACGTGGTCGTGGACGTGGTCGTGGACGTGGACGTGGACGTGGACGTGGACGTGGTCGTGGACTTGGACGTGGTCGTGGACGTGGACGTGGTTGTGGACGTGGACGTGGACGTGGTCCTTGACGTGGACGTGGACGTGGTCGTGGACGTGGACGCGGAAGTGGAGGTGGACGCGGACGTGGACGCGGACGCGGAAGTGGATGTGGACGTGGACGTGGACGTGGACGTGACGTGGTCGTGGACGTGGACGTGGTCGTGGACGTGGACGTGGCGTGGACGTGGTCGTGGACGTGGAGGTGGACGTGGACGTCGTCGTGGACGTGGTGGACGTGGTGGACGTGGACGTGGACGTGGACGTGGAAGTGGACGTGGACGTGGTCCTGGACGTGGTCGTGGACGTGGTAGACGTGGTGGACGTGGACGTGGTGGACGTGGTGGACGTGGACGTGGTCGTGGACGTGGACGTGGACGTGGACGTGGTCGTCGACGTGGTAGACGTGGTGGACGTGGACGTGGTCGTGGACGTGGACGTGGACGTGGACGTGGTCGTGGTCGTGGACGTGGACGTGGTCGTGGACGTGGTCGTGGTCGTGGACGTGGTCGTGGACGTGGAGGTAGACATGGACGTGGACGTGGACGTGGTGTCGAGAGTAATAAGAATGGGTAAGTTGAGAGGTAGAAAGGTGGGGCCTAGGCTTAGTAGCCTAGGCCCGAGCTTTAGGTGTCGAGCGGTTTTGTGCCTAGGTAGGAGTTCGAGTGAGTTGAGAAAAAGTTGGGAGAATGTGGAGCTTCACTATAGTTTTGAAGTACATATAGCAAAGGAAACACATAAGGTGCACCACCAATACAAAGTTTAAATAACTACACTACTGCTAGAACTACATGCAGTTATAATAAATATAATTTTGACATCCCCCCGTAACTGCATGCAGGAATAGCTAAGTGCAGAGCACAACCTGCAGAGGTACACCAACGAACAATAAAACAAGCAACAGCAGGTACACCCCCTCCATCTCCTCACCCTCCCCCTTCCCCTCCCCCACACTGCTGCAGAAGCAGCAGAGAAAGGGGGAAGAGAGGAGAGGTGGAGGGACGGCTGCTTGTTGCCTCACACCCGCCACCCCGATACCACTCCCCCTGCTCCCCCACATCCTCACACCCTCCTCCCCCAGCGGCAGCTGCAGCGGTGGGACTGAAAGAAGGAGGAGGGGAAGGGAGAGAGGTGACGCCACACTCCAACACCCTCCACCCCCATACCCTCCTCCCCACGGCTGCAGGGAGGCAAAGGAAGAAGGGGGGTGGGAAGGAAGAAAGCCGCAGAGCGGCGAAGAGGTGTCGGTGCAGATGGGTCAGGGGCGGCTTCAGGGAGTGCAGGGGCGGAAAGAAGGCCCGTCGCGGGCCAGTGCCACGGGGCGCACGACGGGTAGAATATAAGGGCCCGATCGTGTGCCTCGGGGCACACGACGAGCAGGGCACCATCGTGTGCCACGGGGCGCACGATGGGCAGTTGAAGGGCACCGTCACGTGCCACGGGGCGCGCGACGGGCAGGGAAGGAGTCACACGCCCGTGGGCGGGACAAGGTAAAAAATAAAATCGTCACGCGCCCTAGGCGCGCGACCGGAAAATATTAGCAGCGGAAGTGTAAAGCGGGCCCACAGGCCAGGACGAACTCAGCTCCGATAACATGTCGAGAGTAATAAGAATGGGTAAGTTGAGAGGTAGAAAGGTGGGGCCTAGGCTTAGTAGCCTAGGCCCGAGCTTAAGGTGTCGAGCGGTTTTGTGCCTAGGTAGGAGTTCGAGTGAGTTGAGAAAAAGTTGGGAGAATGTGGAGCTTCACTATAGTTTTGAAGTACATATAGCAAAGGAAACACATAAGGTGCACCACCAATACAAAGTTTAAATAACTACACTACTGCTAGAACTACATGCGGTTATAATAAATATAATTTTGACACGTGGACGTGGTCGTGGACGTGGACGTGGACGTGGACGTGGTCGTGGACGTGGTGGACATGGACGTGGACGTGGACGTGGAGGACGTGGACGTGGACGTGAAGGACGTGGACGTGGACGTGGACGTGGCCTTGGACGTGGACGTGGTCGTGGACGTGGACGTGGACGTGGTCATGGACCTGGACGTGGACGTGGACCTGGACGTGGTCGTGGACGTGGACGTGGACATGGTCGTGGCCGTGGAGGTGGTCGTGGACGACGTGGACGTGGTCGTGGACGTGGAGGACGTGGAGGTGGTCGTGGACTTGGACGTGGACATGGACGTGGACGTGGACGTGGTCGTGGACGTCGAGGACGTGGACGTGGACGTCGAGGACGTGGAGGTGGTCGTGGACGTGGACATGGACGTGGACGTTGTGGACGTGGACGTGGTCGTGGACGTGGACGTGGATGTGGACGTGGTCATGGACGTGGTGGACGTGGTGGACGTGGACATGGACGTGGACGTGGTCATGGACGTGGACGTGGACTTGGACGTGGACGTGGACGTGAACGTGGACGTGGAGGTGGACGTGGTCGTGGAGGTGGACGTGGTCATGGACGTAGTGGACGTGGACGTAGTCGTGGACGTGGACGTGGTCGTGGACGTGGACGTGGACATGGACGTGGACATGGACCTGGACGTGGTCGTTGACGTGGTCGTGGACGTGACGTGGACGTGGACGTGGAGGACGTGGACTGGACGTGGACGTGGTCTTGGACGTGGATGTGGACGTGGACGTGGACGTGGACGTGGACGTGGACGTGATCGTGGACGTGGACGTGGTCGTTGACGTGGACGTGGTCGTGGACGTGGACGTGGAAGTGGACGTGGTCGTGGAGGTGGACGTGGACGTGGACGAGGACGTTGACGTGGACGTGGACGTGGACGTGGATGTGGTTGTGGACGTGGATGTGGTCGTGGACGTGGACGTCGACGTGGACGTGGACCTGGACGTGGTCGTTGACGTGGTCTTGGTGGACGTGGACGTGGACGTGGACGTGGATGTGGAGGACGTGGATGTGGACGTGGACATGGTCGTGGACTTGGACGTGGACGTGGACGTGGTGGTGGACGTGGACGTGGACGTGGACGTGGACGTGGTCGTGGACGTGGACGTAAAGGTGGACGTGGTCGTGGACGTGGTCGTGGACGTGGACGTGGACGTTCTGGACGTGGACGTTCTGGACGTGGACGTTGTCGTGGACGTGGACGTGGTTGTGGACGTGGTCGTGGACGTGGTGGACGTGGACGTGGAGGACGTGGACGTGGACGTGGAGGACGTGGACGTGGACTTGGTTGTGGACGTGGTCGTGGACGTGGACGTGGACGTGGACTTGGACGTGGACGTGGACGTGGACGTGGACGTGGTCGTGGACGTGGTGGACGTGGACGTGGACGTGGAGGACGTGGACGTGGAGGACGTGGATGTGGACGTGGACGTGGACGTGGACGTGGCGCGGACGTCGAGGTGGTCGTGGACGTGGACGTGGTCGTGGACGTGGACGTGGACGTGGTCGTGGACGTGGTCGTGGACATGGACATGGACTTGGACGTGGACGTGGACGTGGACGTGGTCGTGGACGTGGACGTGGACGTGGACGTGGTCGTGGACGTGGACGTGGACATGGACGTGGTCGTGGACGTGGACCTGGACGTGGACCTGGACCTGAACGTGGTCGTGGACGTGGTCGTGGACGTGGACGTGGATGTAGACGTGGATCAGGACGTGGTCGTGGACGTGGACGTGGAGTTGGACACGGACATGGACGTGGACGTGGTCATGGACGTGGTCGTGGACGTGGACGTGGACGTGGACGTGGACCTGGACGTGGACCTGGACGTAGACGTGGACGTGGATGTGGACGTTGACATCGACGTGGACGTGGACGTGGACGTGGGCGTGGACGTGGACGTTGAGGTGGTCGTGGACGTGGTCGTGGACGTGGACGTGGACGTGGACGTGGACGTGGGCGTGGACGTGGACGTGGGCGTGGACGTGGGCGTGGTCGTGGACGTGGAGGTGGACGTCGACGTGGACGTGGACGTGGACGTGGACGTGGTCGTGGACGTGGTCTTGGACGTGGACGTGGACGTGGACGTGGTCGTGGATGTGGAGATGGACGTGAACGTGGACGTGGACGTAGACCTGGACCTGGACGAGGACCTGGACGTGGACGTGGACGTGGGCGTGGAGGTGGAGGTGGACGTGGAGGTGGACGTGGAGGTGGACATGGACGTGGACGTGGACCTGGACGTGGACGTGGACGTGGACGTCCACGTGGACGTGGGCGTGGACGTGGACGTGGGCGTGGACGTGGGCGTGGACGTGGACGTGGACGAAGACGTGGACGTGGAGTTGGACATGGACGTGGACATGGACGTGGACGTGGACGTGGACGTGAACGTGGACGTGGTCGTGGTCGTGGACGTGGTCGTGGACGTTGACGTGGACGTGGACGTGGACGTGGACGTGGACGTGGACGTGGACGTGGTCGTGGACGTGGTCGTGGACGTGGACGTGGACGTGGACGTAGACGTGGTCGTTGACGTGGGCGTGGACGTGGTCGTGGACGTGGACGTGGACGTGGACATGGAGGTGGACGTGGACGTGGACGTGGTCGTGGACGTGGTCGTGGAGGTGGACGTGGACGTAGACGTGGACGTGGACATGGACGTGGAGGTGGCCGGGGACGTGGACATGGACATGGACGTGGACGTGGACGTGGACGTGGTCGTGGACGTGGTCGTGGTCGTGGACGTGGTCGTGGACGTGGACTTGGACGTGGACGTGGACTTGGACGTAGACGTGGACGTGGACGTGGACGTGGAGGTGGACGTGGTCATGGAGGTGGACATGGTCGTGGACGTAGTGGACATGGACGTGGACGTGGACGTGGACGTGGTCGTGGACGTGGACGTGCACGTGGTCATGGACGTGGACGTGGACGTGGACGTGGACATGGACCTGGACGTGGTCGTTGACGTGGTCGTGGACGTGACGTGGACGTGGACGTGGACGTGGAGGACGTGGACGTGGACGTGGAGGACGTGGACTGGACGTGGACGTGGACGTGGTCTCGGACGTGGATGTGGACGTGGACGTGGACTTGGTTGTGGACGTGGACGTGATCGTGGACGTGGACGTGGACGTGGTCGTTGACGTGAACGTGGTCGTGGACTAGGACGTGGAAGTGGACGTGGTCGTGGAGGTGGACGTGGACGTGGACGAGGACGTGGACGTGGACGTGGACGTGGACGTGGATGTGGTCGTGGACGTGGACGTGGTCGTGGACGTGGACGTCGACGTGGACGTGGACCTGGACGTGGTCGTTGACGTGGTCTTGGTGGACGTGGACGTGGACATGGAGGACGTGGACGTGGACATGGTCGTGGACTTGGACGTGGAAGTGGACGTGGTGGTGGACGTGGACGTGGACGTGGACGTGGTCGTGGACGTGGACGTAAACGTGGACGTGGTCGTGGACATGGACGTGGACGTTCTGGACGTGGACGTTCTGGACGTGGACGTTGTCGTGGACGTGGACGTGGTCGTGGAAGTGGTCGTGGACGTGGTGGACGTGGACGTGGAGGACGTGGACGTGGACGTGGAGGACGTGGACGTGGACTTGGTTGTGGACGTGGTCGTGGACGTGGACGTGGACGTGGACTTGGACGTGGACGTGGACGTGGACATAGACGTGGTCGTGGACGTGGTGGACGTGGACGTGGACGTGGAGGACGTGGACGTGGAGGACGTGGACGTGGACGTGGTTGTGGACGTGGACGTGGTCCTGGACGTGGACGTGGTCATGGACATGGACGTGGACGTGGGCGCAGACGTCGAGGTGGTCGTGGACGTGGACGTGGACGTGGTCGTGGACGTGGTCGTGGACATGGACATGGACATGGACTTGGACGTGGACGTGGACGTGGTCGTGGACGTGGACGTGGACGTGGACATGGACGTGGTCGTGGACGTGGACCTGGACATGGACCTGGACCTGGACGTGGTCGTGGACGTGGTCGTGGACGTGGACGTGGATCTAGACGTGGATCACGACGTGGTCGTGGACGTGGACGTGGATCTAGACGTGGATCAGGACGTGGTCGTGGACGTGGACGTGGAGGTGGACGTGAACGTGGACGTGGACGTGGATACGGACGTGGACGTGGACGTGGACATGGACGTCCACGTGGACGTGGGCGTGGACCTGGACGTGGGCGTGGACGTGGACGTAGGCGTGGACGTGGACATGGACGTGGACGTGGATGTGGAGCTGGACATGGACGTGGACATGGACGTGGACGTGGACGTGGACGTGGTCGTGGACGTGGTCATGGTCGTGGACGTGGTCGTGGACGTTGACGTGGACGTGGACGTGGACGTGGAGGTGGACGTGGACGTAGTCGTAGACGTGGTCGTGGACGTGGACGTGGACGTGGACATGGTCGTTGACGTGGTCGTAGACGTAGACGTGGACGTAGACGTAGACGTGGACTTGGACGTGGTCGTGGACGTGGACGTGGTCGTGGACGTGGACGTGGACGTGGACATGGACGTTGTCGTGGACGTGGTCGTGGACGTGGACATGGAGGTGGACGTGGACGTGGTCGTGGACGTGGACGTGGACGTGGACCTGGACGTGGACGTGGACCTGGACGTGGACGTGGACGTGGACGTGAAGGTGGACGTGGACGTGGACGTGGTCGTGGACGTGGACGTGGACGTGGTCGTGGACCTGGACGTGGTCGTGGACGTGGACGTGGACGTGGACGTGGACGTGGACGTGGACGTGGACATGGACGTGGACGTGGACGTGGAGGACGTGGACGTGGAGGACGTGGACGTGGACGTGGTTGTGGACGTGGACGTGGTCGTGGACGTGGACGTGGTCATGGACATGGACGTGGACGTGGGCGCAGACGTCGAGGTGGTCGTGGACGTGGACGTGGACGTGGTCGTGGACGTGGTCGTGGACATGGACATGGACATGGACTTGGACGTGGACGTGGACGTGGTCGTGGACGTGGACGTGGACGTGGACATGGACGTGGTCGTGGACGTGGACCTGGACATGGACCTGGACCTGGACGTGGTCGTGGACGTGGTCGTGGACGTGGACGTGGATCTAGACGTGGATCAGGACGTGGTCGTGGACGTGGACGTGGATCTAGACGTGGATCAGGACGTGGTCGTGGACGTGGACTTGGAGGTGGACGTGAACGTGGACGTGGACGTGGATACGGACGTGGACGTGGACGTGGACGTGGACATGGACGTCCACGTGGACGTGGGCGTGGACCTGGACGTGGGCGTGGACGTGGACGTAGGCGTGGACGTGGACATGGACGTGGACGTGGATGTGGAGCTGGACATGGACGTGGACATGGACGTGGACGTGGACGTGGACGTGGTCGTGGACGTGGTCATGGTCGTGGACGTGGTCGTGGACGTTGACGTGGACGTGGACGTGGACGTGGAGGTGGACGTGGACGTAGTCGTAGACGTGGTCGTGGACGTGGACGTGGACGTGGACATGGTCGTTGACGTGGTCGTAGACGTAGACGTGGACGTAGACGTAGACGTGGACTTGGACGTGGTCGTGGACGTGGACGTGGTCGTGGACGTGGACGTGGACGTGGACATGGACGTTGTCGTGGACGTGGTCGTGGACGTGGACATGGAGGTGGACGTGGACGTGGTCGTGGACGTGGACGTGGACGTGGACCTGGACGTGGACGTGGACCTGGACGTGGACGTGGACGTGGACGTGAAGGTGGACGTGGACGTGGACGTGGTCGTGGACGTGGACGTGGACGTGGTCGTGGACCTGGACGTGGTCGTGGACGTGGACGTGGACGTGGACGTGGACGTGGACGTGGACGTGGACATGGACGTGGACGTGGACGTGGACATGGACGTGGACGTGGACGTGGACTTGGACGTGGACGTGGACGTGGACGTGGAGGTGGACGTGGACGTGGTCGTGGACGTGGACCTGGACGTGGACCTGGACGTGGACGTGGACGTGGACCTGGACGTGGACCTGGACGTAGACGTGGATGTGGACGTGGATGTGGACGTGGACGTGGACGTGGTCGTGGACGTGGACTTGGACGTGGACGTGGACTTGGACGTAGACGTGGACGTGGACGTGGACGTGGAGGTGGACGTGGTCATGGAGGTGGACATGGTCGTGGACGTAGTGGACGTGGACGTGAACGTGGACGTAGTCGTGGACGTGGACGTGGATGTGGTCGTGGACGTGGACGTGGACATGGACGTGGACATGGACCTGGACGTGGTCGTTGACGTGGTCGTGGACGTGACGTGGACGTGGACGTGGACGTGGACGTGGAGGACTTGGACGTGGACGTGGAGGACGTGGACTGGACGTGGACGTGGTCTTGGACGTGGATGTGGACGTGGACGTGGACGTGGACGTGGACGTGGACGTGATCGTGGACGTGGACGTGGACGTGGTCGTTGACGTGGACGTGGTCGTGGACGTGGACGTGGAAGTGGACGTGGTCGTGGAGGTGGACGTGGACGTGGACGAGGACCTGGACGTGGACGTGGACGTGGACGTGGATGTGGTTGTGGACGTGGATGTGGTCGTGGACGTGGACGTCGACGTGGACGTGGACCTGGACGTGGTCGTTGACGTGGTCTTGGTGGACGTGGACGTGGACGTGGACGTGGAGGACGTGGACGTGGACGTGGACATGGTCGTGGACTTGGACGTGGACGTGGACGTGGTGGTGGACGTGGACGTGGACGTGGACGTGGACGTGGACGTGGTCGTGGACGTGGACGTAAACGTGGACGTGGTCGTGGACGTGGACGTGGACGTTCTGGACGTGGACGTTCTGGACGTGGACGTTGTCGTGGACGTGGACGTGGTCGTGGACGTGGTCGTGGACGTGGTGGACGTGGACGTGGAGGACGTGGACGTGGACGTGGAGGACGTGGACGTGGACTTGGTTGTGGACGTGGTCGTGGACGTGGACGTGGACGTGGACTTGGACGTGGACGTGGACGTGGACGTGGTCGTGGACGTGGTGGACGTGGACGTGGACGTGGAGGACGTGGACGTGGAGGAACTGGATGTGGACGTGGACCTGGACGTGGACGTGGCGCGGACGTCGAGGTGGTCGTGGACGTGGACGTGGTCGTGGACGTGGATGTGGACGTGGTCGTGGACGTGGTCGTGGACATGGACATGGACTTGGACGTGGACGTGGACGTGGACGTGGACGTGGTCGTGGACGTGGACGTGGACGTGGACGTGGTCGTGGACGTGGACGTGGACATGGACGTGGTCGTGGACGTGGACCTGGACGTGGACCTGGACCTGGACGTGGTCGCGGACGTGGTCGTGGACGTGGACGTGGATGTAGACGTGGATCAGGACGTGGTCGTGGACGTGGACGTGGAGGTGGACACGGACATGGACGTGGACATGGTCATGGACGTGGTCGTGGACGTGGACGTGGACGTGGACGTGGACCTGGACGTGGACCTGGACGTAGACGTGGACGTGGATGTGGACGTTGACATCGACGTGGACGTGGACGTGGACGTGGGCGTGGACGTGGACGTTGAGGTGGTCCTGGACGTGGTCGTGGACGTGGACGTGGACGTGGACGTGGACGTGGACGTGGGCGTGGACGTGGACGTAGGCGTGGACGTGGGCGTGGTCGTGGACGTGGACGTGGACGTCGACGTGGACGTGGACGTGGACGTGGACGTGGTCGTGGACGTGGTCTTGGACGTGGACGTGGACGTGGACGTGGTCGTGGACGTGGTCTTGGACGTGGACGTGGACGTGGACGTGGTCGTGGATGTGGAGATGGACGTGAACGTGGACGTGGACGTAGACCTGGACCTGGACGAGGACCTGGACGTGGACGTGGACGTGGGCGTGGAGGTGGAGGTGGACGTGGAGGTGGACGTGGAGGTGGACATGGACGTGGACGTGGACCTGGACGTGGACGTGGACGTGGACGTGGGCGTGGACGTGGGCGTGGACGTGGACGTGGGCGTGGACGTGGGCGTGGACGTGGACGTGGACGAAGACGTGGACGTGGAGTTGGACATGGACGTGGACATGGACGTGGACGTGGACGTGGACGTGATCGTGGACGTGGTCGTGGTCGTGGACATGGTCGTGGACGTTGACTTGGACGTGGACGTGGACGTGGACGTGGACGTGGACGTGGACGTGGACGTGGACGTGGTCGTGGACGTGGTCGTGGACGTGGACGTGGACGTGGACGTAGACGTGGTCGTTGACGTGGACGTGGACGTGGTCGTGGACGTGGACGTGGACGTGGACGTGGAGGTGGACGTGGACGTGGACGTGGTCGTGGACGTGGTCGTGGAGGTGGACGTGGACGTAGACGTGGACGTGGACGTGGACGTGGAGGTGGCCGGGGACGTGGACATGGACATGGACGTGGACGTGGACGTGGACGTGGTCGTGGACGTGGTCGTGGTCGTGGACGTGGTCGTGGACGTGGACTTGGACGTGGACGTGGACTTGGACGTAGACGTGGACGTGGACGTGGACGTGGAGGTGGACGTGGTCATGGAGGTGGACATGGTCGTGGACGTAGTGGACATGGACGTGGACGTGGACGTGGACGTGGTCGTGGACGTGGACGTGGACGTGGTCATGGACGTGGACGTGGACGTGGACATGGACCTGGACGTGGTCGTTGACGTGGTCGTGGACGTGACGTGGACGTGGACGTGGACGTGGAGGACGTGGACGTGGACGTGGAGGACGTGGATTGGACGTGGACGTGGACGTGGTCTTGGACGTGGATGTGGACGTGGACGTGGACTTGGTTGTGGACGTGGACGTGATCGTGGACGTGGACGTGGACGTGGTCGTTGACGTGAACGTGGTCGTGGACTAGGACGTGGAAGTGGACGTGGTCGTGGAGGTGGACGTGGACGTGGACGAGGACGTGGACGTGGACGTGGACGTGGACGTGGATGTGGTCGTGGACGTGGACGTTGTCGTGGACGTGGACGTCGACTTGGACGTGGACCTGGACGTGGTCGTTGACGTGGTCTTGGTGGATTTGGACGTGGACATGGAGGACGTGGACGTGGACGTGGACATGGTCGTGGACTTGGACGTGGAAGTGGACGTGGTGGTGGACGTGGACGTGGACGTGGACGTGGTCGTGGACGTGGACGTAAACGTGGACGTGGTCGTGGACGTGGACGTGGACGTTCTGGACGTGGACGTTCTGGACGTGGACGTTGTCGTGGACGTGGACGTGGTCGTGGACGTGGTCGTGGACGTGGTGGACATGGACGTGGAGGACGTGGACGTGGACGTGGAGGACGTGGACGTGGACTTGGTTGTGGACGTGGTCGTGGACGTGGACGTGGACGTGGACTTGGACGTGGACGTGGACGTGGACATAGACGTGGTCGGGGACGTGGTGGACGTGGACGTGGACGTGGAGGACGTGGACGTGGAGGACGTGGACGTGGACGTGGTCGTGGACGTGGACGTGGTCGTGGACGTGGACGTGGTCATGGACGTGGACGTGGACGTGGGCGCAGACGTCGAGGTGGTCGTGGACGTGGACGTGGACGTGGTCGTGGACGTGGTCGTGGACATGGACATGGACTTGGACGTGGACGTGGACGTGGACGTGGTCGTGGACGTGGACGTGGACGTGGACATGGACGTGGTCGTGGACGTGGACCTGGACGTGGACCTGGACCTGGACGTGGTCGTGGACGTGGTCGTGGACGTGGACGTGGATCTAGACGTGGATCAGGACGTGGTCGTGGACGTGGACGTGGATCTAGACGTGGATCAGGACGTGGTCGTGGACGTGGACGTCCACGTCCACGTCAAGTCCACGTCCACGTCCACGTCGACGTCCAAGTCCACGACCACGACCACGTCCACGTCGACGTCCACGTCCACGACCACGACCACGTCCACGTCCACGTCCAAGACCACGTCCACGTCCACGTCCACGTCCACGTCCAAGTCCACGTCCACGTCCACGTCCACGTCCACGTCCACGTCCACATCCACGTCCACGTCCACGTCCAAGTCCACGTCCACGTCCACCTCCACGACCACGTCCTCGACCACGTCCACGTCCTCAACCACATCCAGGTCCACGACCACGTCCACGACCACGTCCACGTCCACGACCACGTCCACGACCACGACCACGACCACGTCCACGTCCACGACCACGTCCACGTCCACGTCCACGACCACGTCAACGTCCACGTCCTCGTCCACGACCACGTCCACGTCCACGACCACGACCACGTCCACGACCACGTCCACGTCCACGTCCACGTCCACGTCCACGTCCACGACCACGTCCACGTCCACGTCCCCGTCCAGGTCCACGTCCACGTCCACGTCCACGTCCCCGACCACGTCCACGTCCCCGTCCACGTCCGCGTCCAAGTCCACGTCCACGTCCGCGTCCCCAACCACGTCCACGTCCACGTCCGCGTCCACGTCCACGACCCCGTCCACGTCCACGTCCGCGTCCACGTCCACGTCCACGTCCACGTCCGCGTCCACGTCCACGAACCCGTCCACGACCACGTCCATGTCCACGACCACGACCACGTCCACGTCCACGTCTTCGTCCACGTCCACGTCCATGACCACGACCACGTCCACGACCACGTCCACTTCCACGTCCACGTCCACCTCCACGTCCACGTCCACGTCCACGTCAACGTCCACGAGCACGACCACGTCCACGACCACGTCCACGTCCACGACCAGGTCCACGTCCACGTCTACGTCCACGTCCACGTCCACGTCCACATCCATGTCCACGTCCAAGTCCACGTCCAGGTCCAGGTCCACGTCCAAGTCCACGTCCAGGTCCACGTCCACGCCCACGTCCACGTCCAGGTCCACGTCCAGGTCCACGTCCACCTCCACGTCCACGTCCACGTCCACGACCACGTCCACGTCCACGTCCACGTCCACCTCCACGTCCACGACCACGTCCATGGCCACGTCCACGACCACGTCCACGTCCACGTCCACGACCATGTCCACGACCACGTCCACGTCCACGTCGAGGTCCACGACCACGTCCACGTCCACGACCACGTCCACGTCCACGTCCACGTCCACGTCCACGACCACGTCCACGACCACGTCCACGTCCACGTCCAGGTCCACGACCACATCCACGTCCACGTCCAAGTCCACGTCCACGTCCACGACCACGTCCACGTCCACGTCCACGTCCACGTCCAAGTCAACGTCCACGTCCACGACCACGTCCACATCCACGTCCACGTCCACGACCACGTCCACGTCCACGACCACGTCCACATCCACGTCTACGTCCACGTCCACGTCCTGGTCCACGTCCACGTCCACGACCACGTCCAGGACCACGTCCACGTCCATGTCCATGCCCACGTCCACGTCAACGTCCACATCCACGTCCCCGTCTACGTCCAGGTCCACGTCCAGGTCCACGTCCACGACAACGTCCACGTCCACGTCCTCCACGTCCACGTCCACCTCCTCCAAGTACATGTCCACGTCCACGTCCACGTCCACATCCACGACCTCGTCCACGTCCACGACCACGTCCACGTCCACGTCCACGACCACGTCCACGTCCACGTCCACGACCACGTCCACGTCCACGTCGTCCATGTCCTCCACGTCCAGGTCCACGTCCTCCACGTCCACGTCCACGTCCACGTCGACGTCCTCCACGTCCACGTTCACGTCCTCCACGTCCACGTGCACGTCCACGCCCACGTCCACGTCCACGTCCACGACCACGTCCACGTCCACGTCCACGTCCACGACCACGACCAGGTCCACGTCCACGTCCACGTCCACGTCAACGTCCACGACCACGCCCACGTCCACCTCCACGTCCACGTCCACGCCCACGTCTACGTCCACGTCCACGTCCACGTCCAGGTCCACGTCCACGTCCACGACCACGTCCACGTCCACGTCCCCGTCCACGTCCTCCACGTCCAGGTCCACGTCCTCCACGTCCACGTCCGTGTCCGCGTCCACGTCTACGTCCTCCACGTTCACGTCCACGTTCTCCACGTCCACGTCCACGTCCACGACCACGTCGACGTCGACGTCGACGTCCACGACCACGTCCACGTCCACGTCCACGTCCACGAGCACGTCCACGATCACGTCCACGTCCACGTCCACGTCCACGTCCAAGTCCACGTCCACGTACACGTCCACGACCACGTCCACGTCCACGTCCACGACCACGTCCATGTCCACGTCCACGTCCAGGTCCACGTCCATGTCCACGTCCACGTCCAGGACCACGTCCATGTCCACGTCCACGTCCACGACCACGTCCACGTCCACGTCCACGTCCACGTCCAAGTCCATGTCCACGTCCATGTCCACGTCCACGACCACGTCCACGTCCACGACCACGTCCACGACCACGTCCACGTCCACGACCACGTCCACGACCACGTCCACGTCCACGTCCACGTCCACGCCCAAGTCCACGTCCAGGTCCACATCCACGTCCACGTGCATGTGCACGTCCACGTCCACGTTCAGGTCCACGTCCACGTACACGTCAACGTCCACGTCCATGACCACGTCCACGTCCACGTCAACGTCCACGACCACGTCCACGTCCACGTCCACGTCCATGTCCAGGACCACGTCCACGTCCACGTCCACGTCCACGACCAGGTCCACGTCCACGTCCACGTCCACTACCACGCCCACGTCCACCTCCACGTCCACGTCCATGCCCACGTCCACGTCCATGTCCACGTCCACGTCCAGGTCCACGTCCACGTCCACGTCCACGACCACGACCACGTCCACGACCACGTCCACGTCCACGTCCACGTCCATGTCCACGTCCACGTCCACGTCCACCTCCATGTCCACGTCCACGACCACGTCCACGTCCACGACCACGTCCACGACCACGTCCACGTCCACGTCCACGTCCAAGTCCAAGTCCACGTCCACGTCCACCCACATCCACGTCCACGTCCAGGTCCACGTCCACGTCCACGTGCACGTCCACGTCCACGTCCACGTCCACGTCCACGTCCACGTCCACGTCCACGTCCACGTCCACGTCGATGTCCACGTCCACGTCCATGTCCACGTTCACGTCCACGACCACGTCCACGTCCACGTCCACGTCCACGTCCACGTCCACGTCCACGACCACGTCCACGTCCACGTCCACGTCCACGTCCACGTCCACGTCCAAGTCCTCCACGTCCACGTCCACGTCCACGTCCACGTCCAGGTCCACGTCCACGTCCACGACCACGTCCAGGTCCACGACCACGTTCACGTCCACGTCCACGTCCACGACCACGTCCACGACCACGTTCACGTCCACGTCCACGTCCATGTCCACGTCCACGTCCACGTCCACCTCCACGTCCATGTCCAGGCCCACGTCCACGTCCACCTCCACCTCCAGGTCCACGTCCACGTCCATGTCCATGTCCACGACCACGTCCACGTCCACGTCCACGTCAACGACCACGTCCACGTCCACGTCCACGACCACGACCACGTCCACGACCACGTCCACGTCCACGTTCACGTCCACCTCCACGTCCACGTCCACGTCCACGTCCACGACCACGTCCACGACCACGTCCACGTCCACGTCCACGTCTTGGTCCACGTCCACGTCCACGTCCACGTCCACGCCCACGTCCAAGTCCACGCCCACGTCCACGTCGACGTCCACGTCCACGTCGACGTCCACGTCCACGTCCACGTCCACGTCCACGTCCAGGTCCACGTCCACGTTTACGTCCACGTCCACCTCCACCTCCATGTCCACCTCCACCTCCACGTCCACGTCCACGTCCACGTCCACGACCACGTCCACGTCCACGTCCACGACCACGTCCACGTCCACGACCACGTCCACGTCCATGTCCACATCCTCCACGTCCAGGTCCACGTCCTCCACGTCCACGTCCATGTCCACGTCCACGTCTACGTCCTCCACGTTCACGTCCACGTTCTCCACGTCCACGTCCACGTCCACGTCCACGTACACGTCGACGACCACGTCCACGTCCACGTCCACGACCACGTCCACGTCCACGTCCACGTCCAGGTCCACGTCCACGACCACGTCCACGTACACGTCCACGTCCACGTCCACGTCCACGACCACGTCCACGTCCACGTCCACGTCCACGTCCAGGTCCACGTCCATGTCCACGACCACGTCCAGGACCACGTCCATGTCCACGTCCACTTCCAGGTCCACGTCCACGTCCACGTGCACGTCCAAGTCCACGTCCACGTCCACGTCTACGTCCACGTCCACGTCCACGTTCAGGTCCACGTCCACGTACACGTCAACGTCCACGTCCACGACCACGTCCACGTCCACGTCCACGACCATGTCCACGTCCACGTCCACGTCCAGGACCACGTCCACATCCACGTCCACGTCCACGACCAGGTCCACGTCCACGTCCACGTCCACGTCCACTACCACGCCCACGTCCACCTCCACGTCCACGTCCACGCCCACGTCTACGTCCACGTCCAGGTCCACGTCCAGGTCCACGTCCACGACCACGTCCACGTCCACCTCCACGTCCACGTCCACGTCCAAGTCCACGTCCACGTCCATGTCCATGTCCACGTCCACGTCCAAGTCCATGTCCACGTCCACGTCCACGTCCACGTCCACGACCACGTCCAGGTCCACGACCACGTCCACGTCCACGTCCACGACCACGTCCACGTCCACGTCCACCTCCACGTCCACGTCCACGTCCACGTCCAGGTTCACGTCCACGTCCAAGTCCACGTCCACGTCCACGTCCACGACCACGTCCACGTCCACCTCCACGTCCACGTCCACGTCCACGACCACGTCCACGACAACGTCCATGTCCACGTCCACGTCCACGTCCACGACCACGTCCACGTCCACGACCACGTCCAAGTCCACGTCTACGTCTACGTCCACGTCTACGTCTACGACCACGTCAACGACCATGTCCACGTTCACGTCCACGACCACGACCACGTCTACGACAACGTCCACGTCCACCTCCACGTCCACGTCCACGTCAACGTCCACGACCACGTCCACGACCATGACCACGTCCACGACCACGTCCACGTCCACGTCCACGTCCATGTCCACGTCCATGTCCAGCTCCACGTCCACGTCCACGTCCATGTCCACGTCCACGCCTACGTCCACGTCCACGCCCACGTCCAGGTCCACGCCCACGTCCACGTGGACGTCCATGTCCACGTCCACGTCCACGTCCACGTCCACGTCCACGACCACGTCCAGGACCACCTCAACGTCCACGTCGACGCCCACGTCCACGTCCACGTCCACGTCCACGTCAACGTCCACATCCACGTCCACGTCTACGTCCAGGTCCACGTCCAGGTCCACGTCCACGTCCACGTCCACGTCCACGACCACGTCCATGACCACGTCCACGTCCACGTCCGTATCCACGTCCACGTCCACGTCCCTATCCACGTCCACGTCCACGTTCACGTCCACGTGGTCGTGGTCGTGGACGTGGACGTGGACGTGGACGTGGACGTGGACGCGGACGTGGTCGTGGTCGTGGTCGTGGACGTGGACGCGGACGTGGACGCGGACGTGGACGCGGACGTGGACGCGGACGTGGACGCGGACGTGGACGCGGACGTGGACGCGGACGTGGACGCGGACGCGCGGACGCGGACGTGGACGCGGACGCGGACGTGGACGCGGACGTGGACGCGGACGTGGACGCGGACGGGGACGTGGACGTGGACGTGGACGTGGACCTGGACCTGGACGTGGACGTGGACGTGGACGTGGACGTGGACGTGGTCCTGGACGTGGTCGTGGACGTGGACGTGGACGTGGACGTGGACGTGGACGTGGACGTGGGCGTGGACGTGAACGTGGGCGTGGACGTGAACGTGGCGTCAACGTGGACGTGGGCGTGGACGTGGACATGGACGTAGACGTGGATGTGGATGTGGACGTGGACGTGGACGTGGAGGTGGACGTGGGCGTGGACTTGGACGTGGACGTGGACGTGGACGTGGACGTGGTCGTGGACGTGGACGTGGACGTGGACGTGGACGTGGTCGTGGTCGTGGACTTGGACGTCGACGTGGACGTGGACGTGGACGTGGACTTGGACGTGGACGTGGACGTGGACTTGGACGTGGACGTGGACGTGGACGTGGTCGTGGTCGTGGTCGTGGACGTGGACGTGGACGTGGACGTGGACGTGGACGCGGACGTGGTCGTGGTCGTGGTCGTGGACGTGGACGCGGACGTGGACGCGGACGTGGACGCGGACGTGGACGCGGACGTGGACGCGGACGTGGACGCGGATGTGGACGCGGACGCGCGGACGTGGACGTGGACGCGGACGTGGACGCGGACGTGGACGTGGTCGTGGACGTGGACATGGTCGTGAACCTGGACGTGGACGTGGACGTGGACGTGGACGTGGTCGTGGAGGTGGACGTGGTCATGGACCTAGTGGACGTGGACGTGGACGTGGACGTGGACGCGGACGTGGACGTGGTCGTGGACGTGGTCGTGGACGTGGTCGTGGAGGTGGTCGTGGACGTGGACGTGGACGTGGACGTGGACGTGGATGTAGACGTGGACGTGGACGTGGAGGTGGACGTGGACGTGGACTTGGACGTGGACGTGGACGTGGACGTGGTCGTGGACGTGGACGTGGACGTGGACGTGGACGTGGACGTGGTCGTGGTCGTGGACTTGGACGTCGACGTGGACGTGGACGTGGACGTGGACTTGGACGTGGACGTGGACGTGGACTTGGACGTGGACGTGGACGTGGACGTGGACGTGGTCGTGGTCGTGGTCGTGGACGTGGACGTGGACGTGGACGTGGACGCGGACGTGGTCGTGGTCGTGGACGTGGACGCGGACGTGGACGCGGACGTGGACGCGGACGTGGACGCGGACGTGGACGCGGACGTGGACGCGGACGTGGACGCGGACGTGGACGCGGACGCGCGGACGTGGACGTGGACGCGGACGCGGACGTGGACGCGGACGTGGACGCGGACGTGGACGCGGACGGGGACGTGGACGTGGACGTGGACCTAAACCTGGACCTGGACGTGGACGTGGACGTGGACGTGGACGTGGACGTGGTCCTGGACGTGGTCGTGGACGTGGACGTGGACGTGGACTTGGACGTGGACGTGGACGTGGACGTGGACTTGGACGTGGACGTGGACGTGGATGTGGACGTGGACGTGGACGTGGACGTGGACGTGGACGTGGACGTGGAGGTGGAGGTGGACGTGGACGTGGGGTCGACGTGGACGTGGGCGTGGACGTGAACGTGGCGTCAACGTGGACGTGGGCGTGGACGTGGGCGTGGACGTGGACCTGGACGTGGACGTGGACGTGGATGTGGACGTGGACGTGGACGTGGAGGTGGACGTGGACGTGGACTTGGACGTGGACGTGGACGTGGACGTGGTCGTGGACGTGGACGTGGACGTGGACGTGGACTTGGACGTGGACGTGGACGTGGACGTGGACGTGGTCGTGGTCGTGGTCGTGGACGTGGACGTGGACGTGGACGTGGACGTGGACGCGGACGTGGTCGTGGTCGTGGTCGTGGACGTGGACGCGGACATGGACGCGGACGTGGACGCGGACGTGGACGCGGACGTGGACGCGGACGTGGACGCGGATGTGGACGCGGACGCGCGGACGTGGACGTGGACGCGGACGCGGACGTGGACGCGGACGTGGACGTGGACGCGGACGTGGACGCGGACGGGGACGTGGACGTGGACCTGGACCTGGACCTGGACCTGGACGTGGACGTGGACGTGGACGTGGACGTGGACGTGGTCCTGGACGTGGTCGTGGACGTGGACGTGGACGTGGACGTGGACGTGGACGTGGAGGTGGAGGTGGACGTGGACGTGGGGTCGACGTGGACGTGGGCGTGGACGTGAACGTGGCGTCAACGTGGACGTGGGCGTGGACGTGGACCTGGACGTGGACGTGGACATGGACATGGACGTGGACGTGGTCGTGGACGTGGACGTGGTCGTGGACGTTGATGTGGATGTGCACGTGGACGTGGACGTGGACGTGGTCGTGGACGTGGACGTGGACGTGGACGTGGACGTGGACGTGGTCGTGGACGTGGACGTGGACGTGGACGTGGACGTGGACGTGGTCGTGGACGTGGACGTGGACGTGGACGTGGTCGTGGACGTGGACGTGGACGTGGTCGTGGTCGTGGACGTGGACGTGGTCGTGGACGTGGACGTGGACGTGGACGTGGTCGTGGTCGTGGACGTGGATGTGGTCGTGGTCGTGGACGTGGACGTGGTCGTGGACGTGGACGTGGACGTGGACGTTGACGTGGTCGTGGACGTGGACGTGGACGTGGACGTGGACGTGGACGTGGACGTGGTCGTGGTCGTGGACGTGGACGTGGTCGTGGACGTGGACGTGGACGTGGACGTGGACGTGGTCCTGGACGTGGTCGTGGACGTGGTCGTGGTCGTGGACGTGGTCGTGGACGTGAACGTGGACGTGGAAGTGGACGTGGTCGTGGACGTGCACGTGGACGCGGACGCAGACGTGGACGTGGACGCGGACGCGGACGTTGACGTGGACGTGGTCGTGGACGTGGACGTGGACGTGGACGCGGACGTGGACGTGGACGTGGACGCGGACGTGGACGCGGACGTGGTGGACGTGGTCGTGGACGCGGACTTGGACGTGGACGTGGACGGGGACGTGGACGGGGACGTGGACGTGGACGTGGTCGTGGACCTGGACGTGGACGTGGACGTGGTTGTGGACCTGGACGTGGACGTGGACGTGGACGTGGACGTGGTCCTGGACGTGGTCGTGGACGTGGACGTGGACGTGGACTTGGACGTGGTCGTGGACTTGGTCGTGGACGTGGACCTGGACGTGGACGTCGACGTGGACGTGGTTGTGGACGTGGTCGTGGACGTGGACGTCGACGTGGACGTGGACGTGGACGTGGTCGTGGACGTGGTCGTGGACGTGGTCGTGGACGTGGACTTGGACGTGGTCGTGGACGTGGTCGTGGACGTGGACGTGGACGTGGACGTGGTCGTGGTCGTGGACGTGGACGTGGTCGTGGACGTGGACGTGGACGTGGTCGTGGACGTGGACGTGGACGTGGACGTGGACCTTGACGTGGACGTGGACCTGGACGTGGTCGTGGACCTGGACGTGGCCGTGGACGTGGACGTGGACCTGGTCGTGGACGTCGACGTGGACGTGGACGTGGTCGTGGACGTGGTCGTGGACGTGGACGTGGCCGTGGACGTGGACCTGGACGTGGACGTGGTCGTGGACATGGACCTGGACGTGGACGTGGTCGTGGACGTGGACGTGGACGTGGCCGTGGACGTGGACGTGGACGTGGACGTGGACGTGGACGTGGACGTGGACGTGGACGTGTCGTGGACGTGGACGTGGTCGTGGACGTGGACGTGGTCGTGGACGTGGACGTGGTCGTGGACGTGGTCGTGGACGTGGCGTGGACGTAGAACGTGGACGTGGACGTGGTCGTGGACGTGGTCGTGGACGTGGACGTGGGACGCGGACGTGGACGTGGACGCGGACGCCGGACGTGGACGCGGACGCGGACGTGGACGTGGACGTGGACGCGGACTTGGACGTGGACGTGGACGTGGACGTGGACGTGGACGTGGACTTGGTCGTGGACGGACGTGGACGTGGACTTGGACGTGGAGTGGACGTGGACGCGGACGTGGACGTGGACGTGGACGCGGACGTGGTCGTGGACGTGGACGTGGACACGACGTGGACGTGGTCTGGACGTGGACGTGGACGTGACGTGGAAGTGGACGTGGACTGGAAGTGGACGTGGACGCGGACGTGGAAGTGGACGTGGACGCGGAAGTGGACGTGGACGCGGACGTGGACGTGGACGTGGTCGTGG